TATAAAAAAAAAATCTACAACCCCCAACAGCCATTTTCCAACCGCTACAAAAATTTATTTGAAAATGAGCCTTTGAAACTCCAAAAAACGTTTGTGACTTTTTGATTCTTACCATTTTTTACTTGTATTTTTGCCTCCACAGGATCGATTTTCAGAAACTACGCCGTTTTTCCGTTCTTGATATATACTGAATGACAAAAAAGGTAAACCCCTACGTATTTTTATTAGAATTCAAGAATTGTCTACATATCGATTTATCTTGCCATTAACAACAAGTGATAAAATGGTCAGGTTTTTGTGGTGGCTGCGTGTATTCTTTGGTGATGAAGAAGCATTCAGTTTTCGTACATTTTCGGTGTCATTTAAATGTTAAATTTCGTGTAGTTTATTGAAAATCCTTTTTGTGATTGCTCAAAATGCCTAGAGTGCCTAGAATTCGCCAGGTGTCCCAGCCAAGTCACTTTGAGAGTGATCGAATTGTCGGGTCTATCGACAAGCGAGTCTTCTAGGAGGACCAATATATCCTTACGCAGTATACAGCAGTGTGAACGAGCGTGGACTTAGGAAAGCCGAGGACAGTGAGCGAGGGTTTCTGAGACAGAAAATATTCGCGATTGCAATAGTTCCTCACCAGTGTGCCGTGGGAAGTAAAAAAAAGGTTTAATGTGCAAATGCTTTTTAGCGCGTTCATTACGGATCCCCCTGTATACCGATAATGCCACTCTGCTGTTTAGGCGTTAACTTCGCAGATAAAATCTTGTATATTCTTGCAGATTCTTTATTCCTCATTTCTCTCGTACAATGAGGAATGGAACTTCCAAGCTATGCGACGTGCTGATCCAGTTTCCGAACGTCAGGCAACTGAATGCAGTTTAAACTTGAAAGCAAACTATGTATCGTGACCCGGCTCCACGGAGCTGTAAAACTCTCGGATACAACTTTATGAATGGCCGACTGATATGAATGAATCGAGCAGGACGCAGTAGAATAAAATTTATGCTCGATTATTGCGCCTGGGATATGGAAGTTACCTTACGAGGGTGACTCGATAAGTATCATGAAGAGTGAAATCTTTGTATGTAGATTTAATACCAACAGAAACGGGGTAAGAACGCAGAGCAGTGTAAGATTTTAAGTTAAATAAGTCGTACAAAACAAGCATAATAATTATGTCCATCAGGATACTCGTTTTTATTGTTTCACGTCCATAGGGACCGCAGCGACAAGACCGCCGGTTGAGACTTCTGGTGAGAGACAGATTCAGTAGTAATAGAGCCCCTGCTTGCTTCTGAGTTATATCATGTTTTATCAGCTTGAAATTTCCTACAATTTCAAAAGAAAACAGATCTTCACAATAGGAGAGCGCTGACACTGACACGGGACAAGTGTAATCTAGAAATTTTTTAAGGAGAGAAAGGAGTATGACAATCAAGGAGGCCATAAACGTGCCCTACAATTGTAGGGAGGACTGACGATACGGGCCCAAGATGCTATAAATGCTGAACATATTTGTCCAAATTTTCGGGGCAAATTCACGGGGAATCTGTGGTGTGAATAAATTGCGATACACCCTCCCCCACCTCTTTAAAACCCCGTCCCAATTTTTCGCCCCTAAATTTTTATTCAAAAATGATAGGATCGTCTGAATGATATTTATTTTTTTAATTGTTTTTTACTTGTAGGGCCACCGCCACTGAAAAAATTTCCAAAAGCTACAGGTATTTTTCGTCCTTGGCTTAGTATTAACCTTGTGTGAGAATCATATAAGAATTGTAAGCTGTACTTTCCAAGTTATAGGGCGGTCCAAGAATTAACAGACAGGCCGACAGACAGATGGAAATAAATGACATGTTTCTCCTCATCGTCGTTCCTTGGAAAATCATTGGATTCAAAAAAACACAACGCTTCCTTGAGGAACGTTCAAGAGACTTTAGTTGTCATCATAGGCTTTCAAAATGTGTAGTTTAGAAAGTTTTCGAAATATGTACAATTTTCGGCAATCTCAAAATTTTCACTACCACGATATTGAGTATTTTGATAAATATGAATGTTTTACTAATTTTGTACCATTTAATTTTTGAACATTTCGAAAGTATCAAGAATTTTTGAAAATCTTTGAAATTGTCTAAATATTAAAATTTTTATAGTTATAATTTGATCATTTTAACAAAATTTTCAGGATTTTTAAATTTTCTACATTAAAAATTTTCAATAGGTATCCTAAAAATTTTGGCATTTGAAAATTTTGAAAATGTCGGCATGTCGTGGAAATTTCGATATTTTTCGAAATTCTGAAAACCTGTAATGAAAATTCTTTGAATAGGTGGTATTGATTGTTTCAAAATGAACTAGATCATTCCTCAAATGACACTCAGCCCTCAAGGAGCGTCTATAAATGTAACCCTTAGATACGTCTAATTAATGGTCGAATGTGTAGTCGATAAGGAGGTCTCATGAATGTGGGATCACGTGATAGATCATGTTGAAGCTCCTTCTAACCGTAAAATATAAAATTTCTATCTTTTAAAATGCCGGGCTGACAGGCTGTCATAGCTGAGCGTTTTAGTACGTTGAATTGCTTATAGCTCGACAACCACCGTCAAAACGCTATAGTACGTTATATTAACCTCCTTCTTTTGGAAGGGGCTATCTGAATGTGCAGTAAGATATGATATATCCGTTTAAGAAGTGAGGGATTTCCGATAAAATATTATACATACATAGCGTTTTGACGACTGATTGTTGCATAGAAAATGACTGAATACACCAAAGCGCTCATCATCGACAGCCTGCTAGCTAGTCTACTAGTTTGGAGATAGTGGATTTATATTTCAGGGTTAGGATATATTCATCACCTGCCAAAATATTATTTAAATTATATACATCAATTTCAGCTTGCTACCTTGATCTACTAAAAAAATAAGTTCAAATTTACCTGATGCTAAATTACTTGACTGTAGTTACTGTTAAATAAAGCCCTTCCACTTTGTTGTGGCAAAAAAAACATAAGGTATGACTTATAGTTACGAACGATTTTAGTTTTGAAAACGTATTATATCTGTTTAAGCTGTGCTGTTTACCTCTTAGTGCTGAAGATATGTCAAATATCAGAACCCTTTACCCAACAATATAATCTGTGGTGTTTAACCAGAGGAAATGAGGTTTTTCGTATTTTTTGCGATTCAGAATTTGTAAATATGTATGCCGCAGGATAGGTAATCAAAAACAAGTTTGTCAAGAGAATTTATTGTTACCTTTTTTGGTATAAAAATATCCCATAAATTTTTACAATGTACAAACTAGAAATTTAGCTTTCGAACGAAAGCTGAACGACTCTGCTCTATTCAGAGTATAACGTTTATCGAAATATTACAACAGAAAGTGCCATCTATTACCAGAATCGACCACCGCGATGTCTTCATTTTCGTACCTTGTGGTCTTATTTCAACAATGTACAAATAACACCTTGTGGAATTTTGTCACTTTTCCCTATACAGGGCTGGAAATAGTCTTTTGAATTGAGAACTTAAGTACGTATCACCCTGTGGAAAAAAATGAGATCTTCATCAGACTTAGCACTAACACATTATTGCAAAGAAAAAGCTAACTTTGGCGTTGAAAACTATCCGACAAGAATTTGGCACTATATATCTGAAATTGCAAAAGATCTAACAAATATTTACAATAACCATACGATAGGTAACATATTCAGAGGAACTATGCAGACATAGTTAATATTATATCAACTAGACATTAACTATGACTTTACAAAAAAATTGCATTCGACAACTATGAGTAACAAAGCAAATAAACAACGGATTGCCTAAATTAATCTAACTTTCTCAGACTTTGAATCCATGTTACTCAACGATGTCAAGTGGCGTTCACACAAACTTGAGACGCGGCTTTCACAAAATATTCGAGAAAAGTTCTTCACGAAAATATGGCTTTAAAAAGTACTCACAAACATCTTTATATCAATCTTAAGATCACAAAAATGTTAATTACATTTTTATATTGACTTGAAGCATCTGTATTACCCTACATCATCAACTGACCCAATCGGAGATTAAAAAAACAGATATTTTTTATATCATTTTACTGGAACACAAATAAGAGTTCCATAATTGTTTCTATTGTTTATATATATATATATATATGTAATGTTTATCAAGTAGGTGTGATTCTGTTTTTTGAAAGAAAGAGTCGAATTGAATTCAAATTGACAATTTTCGAAAAATGTGTAATATGCTAGTTGCAGTATCCAGACTATTCCAAGCTTCTCTCTATAATATTTAGTATACACGAACACATTAGTAAACGATGCATCAAAATATGAAAATGAAAATAGGTAATTTTCTCAAAATTTCTAGGAACGTCCGCTCCATTTCTCAATGCGATGCGGTTACGTAATAATTTTTTGTACAATAAACCTTATAACTAAAATCCAGACTTTTAAACCTTATAACTAAAAACCATTTGGTATCCAGCTAAAACAGCCTTCGTTATTTAAAAGGAACAACCGATTTTACTTCTTTCTGGTACGCTATACAAAAATTTGTGACAATTGATCAATCCAACCACCGTTTGTAACTTGATACATTTTGTACTTGTACTGACCAAACAATTTTGAATTACCCGATGCTTGGATTGAGTGAGCTGAAGGCAATTTAAAATTACGAATCAATTAAAACGTAGATCAATTCAAGTTGTGGAAAGCTGAAATACATCTACTAAAGAAATCTCAATTTACAAAATTAAGCTAAACAAGTAGGACTTTTTAGGCACGACCGCACACGTTTAAAATATCCTATTTTTTGACAGAAAAAGCCTTCTGAGCTATTCCGGAATTCTGACATATGCGGTCGAGCTAAACGTGCAAAATGAAACGACCGGCTTTATACATGGACAGAAATCCAGAAAACTGAAGCAGTAATGCGTAATGCGGGTAGAGAATGTTCATACTTCAGTCAAGAGTCTTAACCTATTATATACACATCTCACTTCCTTTTCACTTTGGTTTTAGTTTGCAGATCCCCGTTCTTCCTATCAGCCCCTGATTTGACGTTATTCAACAGGGTTCTGAACTGCATTATCTGCATGGCGGTTACTGACGGATCACTGCAAGTTTCCAACCATTGGAGAAACTTTTCACCATGCTCCACGGCCTCAGATTGGGACAATTTATCTTCCTCAGCTCTGGTCTCCTTCCTGTTCACAGCAACGTTGATGGTATTGTTGAACAACAGGTTGTCCAACACTGACCTCACTTTGTTATTGGTGCTCTTGTCGGTTTGTTTCTGTTTTTCGTCATGCATCGAAAGATTCTCAGCGTTCTGTTGGTCAGGTACTTGAACAGTTTGAAGCAAAGACTGCGGTTGAGCTGGAGGAGTAGCTTGCTTTGGAGGAGGTGGAGTAGGAACCTTAGCTTCCTTGGTCAATTGCTGGTACAAAATCGGCTTGGTGTCCTGTGACAGTTGCTGGCCCTGAGCGAACTGATTGCACCATTTCCAAAACCAAGAGCTTTGATCCGGAGTCATTGAATTGGCAAATTGCGTTGAACTTACCGCGTTAGTACTGCTGGGTGTCGAACTTGAAATCCCATTGGACGTTTGCGGGGTGGGTAAAGTAGATGATGTCGGTGTCTGAGCTAAGTTTCTCATCTGTTGAGTGGTCAGCCAATACCATACTGATTCATGGACAGACTGCTTGTCTTTGGGAAGGTGTTGCAGCATGTCTTTCTGTTTGTCCACTGTCGTCAACAATCCGCCTCCAGCTGGTGATATGTTGGTACTTGTATCAGCCGCTGCTGTCACACTGGTCTTGGCCTGTTGTCGCAAAGACTTCTGCATCAGCAACGTGTTCCACTGCGCCAGCAGACTGATGTTCGCTGTAAGATCTGTCAGGTTGGAGGAAGCACTGGTAACATTTGGAACGAACATTTCTGGTCTATTGAGGCCAAGTTCCACGCTCAAACGGGCCAATTCAGCTCTGTTGCGTTCCCTCTCCGAGATATGGCTGGTAGATTTTGGAGTTTCCGCGGCAGAAGGAGGTGTCTTCATACTGGTGTCCGGTTCTGCAGGCTTGAAGCTTAGGTCAACTCCAGCATTTGGTGAGTGATGTCCGTCAGATTTTAGACTTAGGTTGAAAGGTTGATCTTCAACTCTTGGCCTTTTGGGTATGGTGTGATCGTTGAGCGATTCGTCGGTGTCAGGACTGGACTGACGGGAGAGATAGGATATTTTGTCCTCGTTCTTACACCAACCGCGGAGGGTGGATTCTGGAACACCGATATCCCTAGCCACCGAAGCCTTGCTCTCACCATCATGCACCCTCCGTATAGCGTCCAATTTTTCATGAGCGGTTAGCGACCGTAGCGGTCGCTTACCCGTCTTCACCACCGACATGATACACTTCCGTCAACGAACGCACGACTAAAGTTAATATTCAGCTGCACGCCGGCCGCAAGGGTAGCGAACACGTGTTGCGCAATGACAGAAACGTGGAGCGGAGAGAGCTTCGAACGCTGCGAACACAACGGCAGTCAGCGCGCGACTGATCGCTGAGAAGGATTGAGTGCGCCTTGGCGTCCGCTGGTCAGTTCCTTTGTCCGGCAGCAGGAAGGACGATCAATACCTTCTACGAGGATAGTGTGACGCGAACTAAGTCGGGGATGGGGCTCGCGGGTCCCAGCGTGACACGGCTTGACGTGAACCACCCCCCACCCCTCGAAGGGCAGAATCCGAACGACACCGAAGACGCGGCAACGGGCGAAAAAGCCTGCTGCCCGACTTCGACAATTTTCTACCACCCCTTCCCTCGATCACATCGCTTAATAATGAAAAACTAATCATGCAATCCAGACAAATTACTAACGGTTCCGCGTCTTAAAATCAATATGTAAATTGATTACAATAAATTTGCAAGAACAGTTTTTAGTTTTCTGTTGGTTTTGCTTATAACTTCAGTCAACGGGTCAGAGCGATTTACATTAGTCTGAATGGTCTGTGTTAGCTGAGTCACATCCAGTTCTGACAGGGTACAATCTGGTACACAGAAAGTTGAAGAATATCCTACCGATAAATGATTAATATTCGGAATCTCACTTAAAAACGTGGATAGTGTACGTGGAGCTGAATGCCGCCCAATCTTACATTATTGCTTCCATAAAACAAGTACTTCCCAAAACTTACATTAATTAGTTTCCTTACGGTAAATCGTTCCATCCAATTCCTTAATTCACCATCATCTGTAGTTAGAAAATCTTGAGTCCTAACATGTAATGCATGTAAATTAGTATTAAGAAAAATCAAATGCTCATCATATTCTCCTTTATTTACGTATTCAAACATGTTATAATGCGTTATCATCATATTACGCGTTAGTTCCTGTGCTATCTTTAAAACCGATTCATCCAACCCTAAATACGTGGGATTCAAAATCATCCTCGTTCCCTGATTCATTTTCTCTTTTATACGGAAAATTCGGAAAAACTCTTTAGCAGTTCCCTCAAAAACATGATGCAGATGCTTCAACAATGGAACATAATTTTCTACCATATCCAATTTAGCATTGCTAAAACGTATTAAGTTAAACATAATACACCACCTACCTGCCGCATCTCCAGAAAAGAATAATTCAGCTGGCATCTTGTCAACTTCCTTAGGCATTTCAATCTGCATATCTTTCAATAATATAAAATCTAGAGCTTTTCCACTTGAAATATTCTTCGATGAATGAATAATGATTGACAAAGCATCTACAATATCCTGAATTGTTAATAACTTCTTTCCTTCTTTTATTGAATCAGCTATATCTTCTGCTTGCGCTTTTGTTCCTTCTTCTTTAGTAACTGATGGCTTAGCATTCTTTTCAAGAATGACAGGCATACCTTTCTTTTCTGCATTGCCCTCTTTAAGTGCTGTTTTTCCAACATCATTATTTTCTTGAGCGTCTTCCTCTTCATTCTTCTTTTCTATCTTAGATTTTTCCGGTTTTACCGCTGTTTTCACAGGCTTAGAGTCTTTATCTTTTCCAACGGTTTCCTCTTTATCAACTGCGGTTTCCAATTCTGTTTCCAACGTCTGCTCTTTCTTCTTTTCTTCCTTTCCTTTTGCTTCAGCTTTAGTTTCATCAACTTTTTCTTCACTCTTCTTCACTTCGGTTTTCTTTCCCAAGGTCTTTGAATTCTTTCCTTTTCCAGACATAGCTCAAGAGCTTACTATTCCTGTGCCTCTATGTATTTCACTCGAAGTAACGTCCAGTCACTGGGATTATCAAATCAACATTTTTTCCTCATTTTACTTGTATATCACTTTTGATTACATGCACAAATGAGCAAAAGTTACAAATTCTATTAAATAAATGTATGCGGATTTTGTTAAATTGTAGCAGGTATACCCTATACATGATAAATATGCTTAAGGCATTAAATTTTTTTAAACATACACCAAATTATTGAAGAGGCAGATTTAATTCTTTTATATAAAATTATCAATAATCAGGCTCCACCATATCTTGAACAGTTTCTAAAAAAAGATGTGAAATGCAAGTTTACGACATAACATCAAAAGAAAATTTGCATATACAAAGATTTAGATTTAAATGTTCAGAAAAGTCAATGGTCTAAAATTGTACAACAATCTCCCTGAAAACATCTCAAGCTAAAATTTTCAAGAAGAGACTTCGGATAGACTATTTTGGTTTGATGTGACGACCTCTCCTTAAATTTAACATATTTTTGTAAATAATATTTATTATTGTTTGAAGTAGCTTAAAGCTAAATAAATCCTTTCTATTCTATTCTCACAATTAGGCAGAGTCATAGTCAAAATGTCAGTTTATACATACAACTTTGAACATGCGAATAATAAGTCCAAATGTTGATCTAAAGTTCTTCCGTGGCACTTATACAATGTGTTTGGTCACGACATACCGATATTTGAGGGGGAAATTTTTCAGCTATTTTTATCGACAAATCCAATGTCCTACCTCATCATCCTTGAAATGGATCCATACCGCTGCGAATGAAATTAGGGCTGACACGGATATGATCTGCCGCTCAACACGGCACATTTTTTTTACAACAACAATGTGCATAACCAATAATGGAGGACATTTTGAACAGCTTCTGTAACATTAAACATATCCAAGCCTTTATAAGAAACATTGATTTGTCATTTTTATGTATAGTTTGAAAACAATTTGCATTTTATTACATCCTTTTTGACCCATGTTAGATAGCATTTATTGCTTAACGTAGAATACTTAGGATAACAAAAGCTGTAGAATTAGCACAAAAAAGTACAACTGCACAGACTAGTATTTGAATGGTGTGCGGAAATGCACAAAATAATCAATTTTCTTCCGTTTTTTTCTGTTTTTAAGTATGTTTGACAGTTACAAGTTTTTCAATAATCGCTAGGACAACATGTTATCGTTCAAATGACACCAAATTTATCATTCTGTGACACTTACGTACTCAGTTATTACAATTTTCATACATGCACTACCGTAATCGTAACGTAAAAATAAAAATGGCTGCCATTTCAAGGGGGATGACGTAGGACATTGTAGGGAGGTGGATTTGTCGATAAAAATAGCTGAAAAATACCCCTCTTGAATATCGGTATATCGTGACCAAAAACATTGTATATCTTTCCTTTTAATTCTCCTGCTTCTTGCTTAAGCATCTCGCGCTGACGTCAGCAAATCCTCGCTTATGATTTACTGCCATTTGTTTCTAGTTAACAAATGCTTATGAGCTGAGTGTAACATAGCTATTACTTAGTGCTTCTCAGAAAGATCCCCCTCATTACTTATTTTTAAACGGGTCAAATTAGCAAACATTCGTAAAAATGGCAGTTGGAAATTTTAAGAAAGGCTGTCAGAGGCACATTTAATCGCTTACAACTCAGCAACTAATTATCAAAGCTTCTTTTGGTTGAATCTATCTGAGTAGGCAATAAAAGAAGGCACCGTTTGAAAAAAGACAGTTTTTGATCCCTTTTTTAAATGGAAAGTCTAAATAGGAAATGTACCATCTGCTCTGGGTATATTGCCGCTAGTGTTTGAATCACCCCGTATAATTTCATGGTATCTGCGTTTTCATTTCTAAAACTGCTCATACCTGGTGAATGTTTTGTTACCGTTAACTTTTTGTGATCAAGACAGCGATTTTTTTCGATTACTTTTTTTTACGTCACCGTGTAAAATTCCGAGGTTCATAGCACAAACTCCTATCTGAATATTGTAATATTATGAACTGTGAATATCTTCGGATCTGAGTTTGGTTTTTTCAGTTTTCCACATTGAAAACCAATTGTTTAGCAACATCTGTTAAAACAAATCTTCCGGTAATTCTATAATGAAGTATAGGTAGATATTATACCAATAGATTGAATCCACAAGTGGCGTCATGTATATTGACTCTATAGATACTTTCTACTTCTTCCAAATGACTTTTTGTGCAATTTTCCATGTAATGCAATGACAACAAAAATGTATTATTTTATAAATATTCATTATTTTGAAAATGTTTAAAATGATTAAAATTTTTTAAATTGAATAAATTTGAAAATTTTGGTATGAGAATTTACAAAATTGTTAATCTACCAAAACTTTTAAAATGAGATTTTCAAAATTTTCAGAATTTTGAATTTTCAAATTATTTAATATTCAAAATTTACAAAAAGTATGCTAAAAAGTTTGGTATCTAAACATTTTGAATGTTGAAAATACGTGAAAATTTCGATAATTTGAAATTTTTCCAAATTCTGAAAACCTCTTGATGACACCTGTTACAACATAAAAAGCAAATGTTGAAAATGTTCGTTGGGGCGGCATTCTTTGCTTGAAATTCAAGGAGATCATTCCTCAAATGGCCCTCAACCCTCAACGAACGTCTATAAGTGTAACCCTTAGATACGTCTAACGGTCGAGTCTCTGTTGTGACATTGGTTGACTTGAAAATCTTGTAGAATAATTGTCACATAATTTCCTCGATGAGGAAGTCGGAAGTCGTAATTGAGAAATAAGACCCAAAATGAGGGAATCCTCGTAGTTAACAAAAAAACATAAGTTAGCCTCTAGAAACCACCTCACAAAATGACCTCAAATAAATTACGTAACTTTTCAAGCAAAAAATTCTTTTTGACTATCCTTTCAAACATCCAAAACTTAAAAGCAAATCCTTTTGATAACTCTAACATTTCTAATAACTATCCCCACCACAAGCTTCTCTCATACTAATTTTTTATCATTATGCTTTCCAAAAATGCGGCCCCTTGTTATTTTTTGAATCGGTTAAACTAGCAAGCTATAATCTGGGGTTATGAAATCGATGTGCAAAAGTGGAAGCAAATAAATTGGAATGTTTTTTGAATGAATGTGATATATCATTTTGCAG